CTTGAACAACCCTTTCTTTAACAATTCTTTAACTTGTCGTTGGACTTCGGCATGTTTCTAAAGGCTCATCCTGTAAGCAGGCTTGTTAGGAATGATTGCTCTTGGAATGAAGTTAATGGTGTGTTGTATGTCTCACATAAGAGGAAACCCTAGTAGTATCTCATCAATATTACATTTAAAAATTTAGACAATAATGGAATGACTCTTGGTAGATTGGTCAACTTATCGTTCACCTCAAGCACCAGAATAAAGCTCATCATTTAGGCTTCAAACTTCGTCACCTTAAATTTCTCCTTAGTCATCAAAGACACCAATGGCTTAAAGGCGCTAGATTCCCTCGAACATTGGCTAATCTCTTTGGGTGGTAGAGGCGTTAGTGTGAACTTGACACCATCTTTTATAAAAAAAAATAAGTGTTTGCTTACCCATTGTACATAGCATGTCAGTCATATTGCCATGGCCTCCCCAAGAAAAGGTGGCATGTATCCATAGGAACAACATCACACAAAACTTCATCACAATATTGGTTTCTAATAGAAAAGGTGATAAGGCATTATTTAGAAACTTTTACCTCATTCCCCTTGTTGAGCCAGTGAAGCTTGTAACGTTGCGGATGATCTTGTGTTAGCAACTTTAATTTCTCTACCATATAGTCAGATACTACATTTTCACAGCTTCCACTATCAATGATGACATTACAAACTTTTCCTTGGGTCGTGCAACGAGTGTGAAAAATGTTGCGTTATAGCCAAAGTTTTTCTTTGACTATAGTTGTATATAAACTTCTTCGAAGCACCAATACTTCTCCTTAATCAGCAGGCATGACCTCCTCATCATATACAGGATCAGTGCTATAAAACTCAACATCCTCCTCATCTTCTTCAGGTGCTTCATACTCTTATCCTTCCCTGATAGTGACAATCCTCCGGGTAGGACAATCCCCAATAATATGGCCAAATCCTTAGCATTTAAAGCATTTGATTGCTTTAGAGCTAGATTCCTTGGTAGCATTAGGTGACGGTTTGCACATATCACTAGATTATGGCTTGCTTAAGGAGTTGGTCTGCTGAAATTCTGCTTTACAGGCTTCTAGATAACCCCTAAAAGAAGAAGGCTGGAAAGAGGATCTCTTGGGCATCTATTTCTCAACACACATGGCTAGATGGATTACATCATCCAAAGTCTAATACTACTGAAGCTGGACTGGCCGGCTGATATTAGTGTTTAAGCCTGCAAGGTACGAAGCTATTGTTTGCTCCTCCTTCTCTTGAATGTGATACTTCATCATGAGTTATTCAAATTCTCTAGTATATTTTTCTACAGATAAAGACCTCTGTCAAAGATTTTACAACTGGAAAAAGTTATTCTGATGGTAATGATCTAACAGAAATTTCCTGGTGAGCTGGCGTCTCATTTTCTCCCAAGTCTCAATCTTGCACTTTCTCTCATGTTCTCACTTCTGTCTAAGGTTTTTCCACCAAATGAAGCATGTTTCTTGAGTTTGAGGGTGATAATCTTGACTTTCTGTGCATCTAGAATTTTCTTGTATTCAAATACTCGTTCAATAGTTTGAAGCCAGTTTACAAATTCATTTGGCTAGAGTCTTCCCTCAAATTTAGGAATGTCTACCTTGATGTCATTAGGGTAGAATTGTTGTTGTCGTGGACGACAGTGGTTGTCAGTGGATGACGAACTACTGTTTCTCGAATCTCCTTCTAGGTTTTCTCTATTCTTGTTTAACAAAGTTCGCTGCATTTTCACAATGGCTTCCAACTCTTGTATCCTACATCTCATCTATTTCATCTCAACCTCGTGCACATGCCTATATCTTAAAGGCATTTTGATAAGTGTCAAGGCTAGGGATATTAGAAAGATTGAGGTGCAAAATGAAAATGTTAAAAGGATATAAGGGTAGAATGGGAATTTTGGAAAGTATAGGGGAAAAATGGAAATTTTGGAAAGTCTAGGAGTAAAATGGAGATTCTAGACGTATAGAGGGTCAAAGTGTAATTTATGAAAAATTTAAGGGTCAAAATAGAATTTAGGTAAAATTAAGAGGCAAAAGTGTAATTTTAGGAAAGATTTAGGGTCAAAATGAAATTTCAAAAACTTTTGGGGTCAATATCAAAATTTCAAAAAGTTAAGGGTTAATATGAAAAGATTTGGGGTGAAAATGTAATTTTAAAAAATATGGCTGACTAGGTAAGGTGACATGGTAATTGTGACATGTGGCGGGAAATTATTGGGCACGTACCAGATGATGTCATCATCTTCTTCCTACAGAAGGCGCATGACAGCTCGTGAACTAGTGGTGAGGTGTGTAGATTTTTTATGGTAGCGCGTGACGACGCATGGTTTATTTTTTTAATAACGGGAAACCTCCTGTTCCATGTTTTTGGACCTCCTAAGTATGATGGTAATATTAGTTTTTCGAGAAAATGCCTGGATTGCAAAACGCGAAGACATCAGGGACTCCTCCTCTATTCATAACTGGATTCCTATTTGGTGCACTAGACTCTTCATCTTCCTCCTCTATTTAGATCGATCGATTCTTCTTCCCTTGCATTATTCGCATGGCTAGAATCCTTTTCTCTCCCTTCATTTTGCATTGTTGCTAACTTGATGTGGACTATAAATCAAAATTTCTTGCATCCTTCTCCTTTTCTTTATGCGTGTCTTTTAGAGTGAATAATGGATAAAAACTAATATAATTCTTGAATGGTTTAATGCATAAATGTCACCACATTCTCCATTTTTTTAGTATAATGATTTGGTTTGAATGCCAGTCATTTACCATTGTATAATTTGAAATGAACAAGGATGGACACAATGCTACTATTTGTATATGGACAAAATGTTATGGAAGATTCTTTGAATTCAAAGAGAAGTGTTTATGTTTTATTGAATTGTTTATTTTATATTTACCACATGTTTAGTCTATTATAATATTCCTTGCTATATTTTTTTAACTATATAATTGGGATGTTATTTAGTTGAAAAACTATTTTTTAATCTTAGATATTTTAGCTGATATTATACCCCTACATACAATTGAGGGGCTTAACTTTTGAGTTGAAGCAGAGGAACTTGTGAATAATCATCTTTTGAAATAATCTTGAATGTGTAAATTATGTTTTATAAATCCTATTCTAGGTACTCTACAAAAATTATAGTTAGAATCTTCGTTTGATTTCCTATATTATGGGTTTGCTAATAGGAGTAAAGCTTCCTATTATTATCTTGTTCTAAAAATCGTTATTGTAGAATTATTAGGAACTCCTATTTTCAGAGGAGTTTTTGCTAAAATTTTTAAGAAAGTTCATAACTTTGTTTAAAATAAATATATATGTTGAAAGAATTTTATTTTATATGATAAATGGGTTTATGGTTAAAATCAAATTTTTCAATATTAAGGTTTTAGAGATGTGGGTTTTTATAAATACTACACATCCCATGCTAGTCACATCTTAACATTTGGGGCATGACCAATGTGTTTTAAGGATTTAGTTCTTTTAATTCAAATGAAACATATTAGAAATGCTTTATAAATAATATGGATGAAACACATATATATATAGACACTTGTTCACGATTGAGCAACCCAACTTTGACCCTTCTCGCTGGAGGTGGTCTCGCCCTTACTTGTGTGTGACTTAATTGTGATTCTCCCTTAAATTTACCCCTTTACTTCATATCATAGGTATTGATAACAACTTTACCATTCTTAAAAAATAGTTAAAATATTGAGTTTTTAAATAAATATTGTACATATTTTTAAGTATGTTATCATTATCATTAGATGTCATGTGTGTGTATACTTTTTTTTTAATAATAACAATAGAAATTCATTTTTATACACATAACAATTGAAACTCTAATAAATTATTCTTAAAAAGTAATACTGAATTAAGTAAGAATATAGTGAAAAAATTATAAAAAGAACTCAATACCTTATATATTAAATTAAGTAAGACTTCTAAAAAATACTTTATATCATAAACTAAGGAGTATATATAATTATTTAATTAAAATATGATAATTCTATGATTAAAAATATTTTAAAAATGTAAACATATATTCAAAAAAATATAAAAAATATAAATTTTATATCGTCAAAGAACATAGTTTTTAAAAGTTTTATCTTACAGGAGATTTCTCACTCGTATTAATTCAAATCCACTTACAATTAATGAGATATCCTAACATCATAGCATTAAATACAATCAACTCATTATCATGAGAGGTTTAAATTTAAATAATCTAATTCACTATGTGTTGATTTAACGCATCCTTCTCTAACAAGAAGGGAGAGAGAGGGTGATAAGAGAGTAGCCAAACTCAATTGAAATACTTCCCTCTATGCTGGCGTCAAATGTTTTCTGGATAAATGAAAAAAAAAAATAATCAGACAACGCGCCCTTAAATTTCTCCAAACATTGAATGTGATGGCATAAATGATGTTCATGGGACCCAACAAGAGACGCACAGAAGCCAACAACTATTTCTTATGATACTATTTCTAACTTACCTTCAACAAGGAAAATCTTAAAAATATTAATTATATTTAAAAATTTAATAAATTTTAAACTTTGTCTCTTTTAAATTACATATTTTAATAGCATACTCTCTCTTATTTTATTTATAAGGTGGAAAAAAAATTTTATCCTATTTATAAATCATATTATTAAATTTTTGTTATAAATTTTTTTATCCTTCATTAAATATTAAAAAAAATTATATTATTAAAGTATGTATATTTAATTTGGACAAAATTAAAAAATTATTAATTTTTTAGACAATTAATTACTCATAATTTTTTTTAATTTTGATAAAAAATGATTTATGAATCAAATGGAGTATTTTTTTTTTAAAGTTTCACCTACATTTAATGAAAGGTAAAATAAAAAATTTATAATAAAAATTAAATGATGTGATTGGGAATTAGACGAAAAATTGTCTTCTATGTCCGCGTTATAAATAGGATACAAATGAGCAGCATTCACCTCCAACAAACAAGTGGAATACAAACATTAAAGAGCAAGTCAGCAGTCAACTCCAATATCTCATCTCAAAGGGCTGCTTCATCATTATCGTCTTCACTTGATTAGCTCTATCTTCCTACTTCTGTAACATTTCTCACTTCCATCAGTTCCATGGAGGTCCCACCAACCGTTGCCTGCCACGTGGTTGCCATGCCCTACCCAGGTCGAGGCCACATCAACCCCGTCCTCAATTTCTGTAACTTGCTTCTATCCCATAACCTTGACATCCTCGTCACTTTTGTGGTAACTGAAGAATGGCTCGGCTTCATCGGTTCACAAGCCAAGCCCCAGAATGTCCAGTTCAGCACTATACCCAATGTGATCCCGTCCGAGCTGGATCGTGCAGCCGACCTTGTCGGCTTCGTCGAAGCTGTCTTGACGAAAATGGAAGCTCCGTTTGAGCAGCTCCTGGATCGGCTTGAGCCGCCGCCTACACTGATCATACATGATACTCTTCTCTTCTGGGTCGTCGGAGTCGGTAATCGAAGGAATATCCCCGTTGCGTCGTTTTGGACAATGTCGGCGTCGTTTTTATCAGTGTTCCAGCGCTATCATCTTTTAGAGCAACATGGGCATTATCCCATCAATGCATCGGGTTAGTGCTACTATCTTCTTTGTTTTACTCTTCGGATAGAGGTTTTGTTTTGTTTTGTTTTTTTTTCTTTTCACAAGTACTGGCTGAAAACTCGCGTTGACTGTTTAATATTCAACCAGCTTTTAACTATTAGACGAGTTTCTGTTGAAGTGTAAAAAATTTTTAAGTGCTGATTTGACTTGATTGTTGTCATTCACAAAATTTTTGTTGTGGCTTCGTTGTTCCAAAAACACACAGAGCTTTCAACTATTTTTTTTTTCCCTAAGTGGCAATTACTTTATGGATAAAGTTTTTTAACAAGTTAGTTGAATTCAGGGTAAAAATTGTATATTTTGACCATTACAACATTGTTAAATATGCTATATAAGTGTTTTAATCATGACACAATTGAAATTTTAATAAATTATTTTTTTAAATGAATAATATAAAGTGAAGTACATAGGTATAGGTGAAAAAAAAATTATAAAAACGCTTTATGTTTTTGAAACTAACTAAATCAAGGGAGTGTATTTCAAGGGAGGTTGGTGCTTGGAAATTCAGATTAACTTTTTCGTGTTGAAATTAAAGAGATTTCAACTACTCCCTCTTATCCACAATACATAGGGCAGTATTTGTAACTTTTATGGCTGTTCAAGAAAATTAATTGAATTCTTAATTTTTTAAAATATTGTATATCTTTTCAATTACATTTTTATTAAATATTTTAAAGAAATGCCTTAATAATTATGACAACTAAAATTCTAATGAAATTTTTATCAAATATAATAATAAATGAAGTATATAAATACAGTGGAAAAAATTATTGTCCTATATCTTAAACTAAGTAGGACTTAGAAAAAAAGAAAAATTAAATGCCGTATATCATGAATCAAAGAGGAAGTACATTTCAAGGAAGGTTGGTATATATATTTGAAAAGTATGAACATGATAAGTAAAAATGAAAATGACACAAAATCAACTTGACTTTTCTTCCTTTTGGACAATTAAATAGAATAAAGTAGTTTTATGATATTCCTTCATTTAATAATGTAAGACATTTTTAATCAAATCTCACCTCTTAATAAAGTAGTTACCTATTTTCAAATTGACCCTATATTTTTATATTTATATCTATTAAATACCTTACAATAAATATAAAGTCATTATCGATAGATATACTTTTAAAAAAAAACAATGATTACATCTTGAAAAATTAAAAATACCTTACATTCTTTAACATTCGACTTTTTAAAAAATATCTTATATTTTTAAATGAAGGGAGTATGAAATATATAATTCAACGAACTAAAGTATACAAACTTAATTAATTATGTTTTTTTTCCTTTATTATATTAAATGCTTGCAACAGAAGTGGGCCACAAACGTGTGGATTATTTTCCTGGGATTTCCTCAACCCGTCTAGTGGATTTTCCTCTCAGAGACGGAAGCTTTAGCTGCCAAAGAATGTTGCAACATACCTCCAAATATCTTTCTTTTGTACCCAAAGCACACTATCTCTTATTCCCTACAATACACGAGCTTGAACCTCAAACCATTCACGTGTTAAAATCTGAATTCTCTTTGCCCATTTATGCCATTGGCCCAGCCATACCTTATTATTTAAATGTTAATGACCAAACTCACCTCAACAACAGCTACTTCCAATGGCTAGACAACCAACCTTCTAACTCTGTGATATACATCTCACAAGGAAGCTTTCTCTCAGTTTCACAAGCTCAGATCGATGAGATCGCAGCAGGTTTACGGTTAAGCCGTGTTCGGTTCATCTGGGTAGCGAGAAAAGAGACTCATAGGCTAGGAGAGATATGTGGAGATGTTGATGATAAGAAGGGTTTAGTATTGGAATGGTGTGAGCAACTGAGAGTGTTAATGCATGATGCTATTGGTGGTTTCTGGTCTCACTGTGGATGGAATTCAACTAAAGAAGGTCTGTTTACTGGTGTTCCTTTTCTTACTTTTCCAATAGTGATGGATCAGCATTTGAACAGTAAGATGATAGTGGAAGATTGGAAAGTTGGCTGGAGGGTGAAGAAAGATGTTGATCCTCAAAGATTGATAAGTAGAGATGAGATTGCTGGGTTGTTGCAGAAGTTTATGGATTTGAATGATAAAGATGGAAGAGATATGAGAAAGAGAGCCAAAGAGCTTCAACGTGTTTGTCAGCTTTCAATAGCAAATGGTGGCTCCTCTGAAACTAATCTCAATGCCTTTATCAAAGATGTCACGAAGAGCTAGGGGATACCATAATTAAGTGAATCTGGATATGTATTTTGCTTTTTATAAATAAGTACTCCCTCCAATAAAAAATATAAAATATTTTTTAAAATATTTGATGTTAAAAAAAAGTAAGGTATTATTAATATTTTAAAGTGTAATTAGTGCATCTTCTTCCAAAGTTACTCCTAATAAATAAATTATTTTATATTAATTTTAAAATAAAATAAATGCCTTGTTAAATAAGGATAAATGTAAAAAATAATATTAATTTAAAAATAAATAATTATTTTATTATGAATGAGATTCAGTAAAAAAATATAAAATTTTTACCGTAAGGAGTACATCTTTTTGTATTCTGATTTTTGTGCAACTGTTAGCAGGAATTGAAGTGGTAGACTTATAATCAATGAGAGCAATGGTCAAAACTTTCTTGTCGTGGAAACAGAAATTATTTAGTGTAAACTTTTTGTCTTTATTACTATTATTTGCTAGTAGCTGCGCGCGCGCGCACATTATATCTTACGTTTTGGTATAATTAAGGTCTGTTTTTAAATTTACGCGCGCGCGCACGCACACACATTATATCTTACGTTTTAGTATAATTAAGGTTTGTCCTTAAATTTTATTTGATGGAAGAAAATGACTTGAATTCAGTAATTTTTATTTAATCAGAACGTCTGCAGGTTTAATTTTTTTAATATTAATTTGATATTAGAATAATTAAAATGTGTTAAAATTAATTATAATTTCTCTTATGTTTCAGTTGCTCTGCTTTTGCTTTTCAATCGTTACAAGGACGATGATGCTTACGTGGGTGGCGCTGGTGATAGCTTTAATAGATTAATTAACTACTGAGTAATTATTAACAGAAAAAGTATGAAATAGCGAAGTACCTAGGCTCCCATTCATTCGTGAGGTGTATTATAAATTAAACTGGATATCTCTGTTTTTTGGCCAAAAAAAAAAAAAAAGATACCTCTGTTTTGGTCAGAAACAATTAGGAATCTTTGTTGACAACTAATTCTTCGATCGCTTCGCCTGGCCTTTTCGTTATTTATATTCAATCAAAACTAAAAAAGAAAGAACGAGGTATGACAGTTAGGTCCTAGATAAATTTTTTAAAAAAACAGGTTGAAAATATTAATTTAGATTGATATAAATTTAAGAGTTTTAATTATAAATAAATATTTAAATATTAAATATAACTTTTACATAGTAACAGAAATTTTAATTTGTAACCATTTTAATTGATATTTATAATTTATTTTGTAAAAAATTTTATTGAGAATTTAACTCTCATTAACTCATTTCTTTGAGAGCTAGCTGTCATTCTCCCAAGAAAGAATGAAAGATTTTGTTTAAATCCACTTAAATGAAACTGATTCATATAGTCCTTTACAGTAAGTTATTAACACATACGATCTAGTTAAATAACTATTTTGTAATTTAATAATTACTGCTCAATTTCTATTTGTAAGACACTTTAATTAAATCACATGTGGTTAAAATTAGTTAAGAGTTTTGATTTTTTAAAAATTTCTATGGAAGTACCAAATTACACTTAATTAAAATTATTATCTTTACCTTCAAATGTTAAAGTCAAATATGCCACATAAATGAACCAATTGAATATGTAAGAATTTATGAAAATAACTCATTAATGTTTCATCAAATTTTATTAAGGATTAAATAAAGTTTCTAAAAGGTATTTTTTATTAAGAACAACAGGGAGCATTTTTTTTAGTTGGTGTAGACAATCTTGTATCACACCTTAGAGGGCGAGGGAGAGAATGAGAACGTCGTTTTTGCTTTAGCTATTGATATATTTTTTTGCATAGCACTTTGCTGTCTTTCCGTTGTAGTCTAGGTGGTTAGGATACTCGGCTCTCACCCGAGAGACCCGGGTTCAAGTCCCGGCAACGGAATATTTATTTTTTCATTAACTAATAAAGCACGGAGAGATTACGATATACGACGCTTTAGATCTACTATTTAAAGAGCTTCTTCATTGTCCTCTCTGATCAACTGCATCTTCATGGCTTCTGTAACTTAAATTTTGTTTCCATGGAAGTTCCACCAATAGTCCCCTGACACGTGGCGTTTATGCGTGATGAAAGCCGAGCCCACATCAACGCCATCCTCAATTTTCTGTGACTTGCTGTTCTCCAACAACCCTAAAGTCCTCCTTACCTACGTCATATCACTCAAGAATGGCTTGGCTTCAACGGCTCACAAGCCAAGCCGTGTTCAGCACCACGTCCATGTTATCTCCTCCGAGTGCTTCCTGGACTTTTGAAACTGTTATGACTTTAAAGAATTAAAAAATCTTGAAATTGTTGGCTTTTTATATTCAGATTTTGCCTCCTGTCTGAATGATTATAAGCTCACAATCGACTATATTTTTATATTGTCTGAAGGAGTCTTTTTTTAAAAAAGTGTAAAATAAACACTTACAGTAGTTTCATATATAGAAACTGAGTATATCGCTTGTTTTGAGACTAAATGTCAAGCTATATGGCTGAGAAAGTTGATATCTGGCATGCGCCTAGTTGAGTCAATATTACATCCTCTAATAATTTAATATGATAACAAATCTACAGCATACTATACTAATAACCACAGAAATTCCAATCGTACAAGGCATTTTGATAACAAACTTATGTTTGTGAAAGAGAAAATTGATAAGTTTCAAACCCATATGGTACACATTCCTAGCACGCAAATGCTTGCAGATCCATTGACTAAGGGTTTACCTGTAGAAGTTTTTCAAAATTATATAACTTATATGGGTATTGTGAATTCCTTTGATGCCCTGATTTAGTAGGAGTTTGAGAATCTTATTTGTTATAATTTCTCTTTAGGCTTTATTTTTTTTTTGTGAGTTATGCTCAATTCAATTATATGTGTCTATATCATTTGTATCTCTCATAAAATTCAATGATTCTGTTGTGATACGCTATGTATGTCACTTGTTTTCCCATAGGAATCAGTGATTTATGTTATTATCTTATTGAACTGTATTAGAATAAAATTTTATATTTTATTTAAATTTTGAGACATTATATCACTTGTTTCTCTATAGGATCCAGTGATTTTGTGAAGTTTCATTTTTTGAATTTTATTTGTGACTTGTTTATACAACTTGCTTAATTAATGTAATCCAAGTGGAAGATTATTGAAATATTTATATGAATTTACATTAATAAATAAACCCAAATAGATTGGTTTTTATGATATTGTGTGGACCGTGATAGGTAAATCACACAAGTGAGCCTAATGGGTAGAGGCTCAACCCACAACCCAATAGCCGTCAGTTATTTTCTATCTCTTAACTAACTGAGTTAAAGATAATATAATATAATTATTTAATTATTTAATAAAGCAATTGCTGATCTAATCCTTATAAGTCAATCAATCGATAACCACAAAACATATGATACATTTTCTTCTACTCCATTATCTCTACACTCTCTGAAAACTCTAGGGTTCAGTGGGTTGTGCATCTGTCTACATTCGAGATAATTAAGGTATCTTTAATAAGTGATCATGAATTTTTCAAGTACGCACATATTACTTTATTCTATCATATTTCATTATATAAGAATTGAGATATTAGATTTAACGTAAAATTGAAGGCTCCGTTTGAGAAGCTCATTGATTGGCTTGAGCCGTGGCCTACACTCACCACACATGGATGAGATTGTTGGGTTGGTGCAGAAGTTTCTGGATTTTAGATGATAAATATAGAATAGATATGAGAAAGAGACTCAAAGAGTTTCAAAGTAAATGTCAACATTCAATAACAAATGGTGTCTCTTTTGAAACTAATATCAATGCCTTTATCAAAGATATATATATATCACGATAAAGAGGGGATGGTATAACAAGCCTGCAATAATGTTGAATATATAGAAGACATTATTAATACTAGCAATTAACAAGTATTTGTTAGTGAAATGAGAAGTTATAATTTCAACAAGTCCACTTCATATTATAATAAGTCAATAAAATTGAATATGTAGAAAGTATTATTAACAAAAGTGAAATGACAAGTTAAATTATGATTTTTACCAAACCCACTTCATATTATAACAAGTTAATAAAATTGAATATGTAAAAGGTATTGTTAATAAGAGTGAAATGACAAGTCAAATTATGATTTTACCAAGCCTATACTTCATATTATAACAAGTTAATAAAATTAAATATATAGAAGGTATTGCTAATAAGAGTGAAATGACAAATCAAATTATGGTTTTAGCAAACCCACTTCGTATTATAACAAGTTAATAAGATTGAATATGTGGAAGGTATTATCAATAAGTTTCACTGATAAATTAACAAATATACATTTGTGAAATGATAAATTAATTAGTTAGGGTTTTAATAACAAGTCCAATTCATATTTTAAAAAAGAATGGTATTTTAGTTATTTCCTATCAAAATATATTTTCAACTCAGTCCCTTATATAATCATGTAGTGTATTTTTCTTTACCGAAAGTCTCCAAATATAATAGGCAAAAAAGAATATATATATATATATATATAGTTTACTCTTAAAATAGTTTTATACATAAAACTAGACAAATAATTTGAATATGGAGGATATTTAAGTAATTTTATTTTTGAATTCCGATCACTTTAATATTTTTTTGTCATTAAAATTTGTTATGGTCCTTCAATATAAATAAGCCTGGTCATTCCGCACTTAAATTTTATCTTGTCATCTTTATATGCTATTCCCCATTGCTTAGATTTCACCAATCGTTGAATTAGTCAACATGATTAAAGGTTGTGGGGCCTGCCTAGAAGCATGCTCCAATATTTTCTGGTTGTATTTATAAAAATGCTTTATTTTTTTATTCTATTTATAAATCATATATATATATATATATATACACATTGACAGATATCAGTCTATATGATTAAATTCTTATCACAAATTTTTCATTTCACCTTTTGTTAAATGTTGATGGAAAAGATATTTATTATTAATATATATATATATATAGTATGACCAAAATTAAAAAACTTATTAATTTGGAATGAAACATGTTGAATAGTACAAGTCACTTATTATAAGTATGACAGAAGAAGATCGAGGAGCTTAAAGTCATTACTGGTGTGCCCGTCTATTAGCCTCTTCTTTTTTTGATTCATATGCCATTCCCATTAATTAGATTTCACCAAACGTAAGTTGAATTAGTCAACAGAATTAAATGTTGAGGTCTTGTGGAATCTGCCTAGAAGCGTGTTCCTTTCTCTGGATTCATTTATAAGGATGCTTTTATTTTATTTTATTTATAAATTATACTTCTTTTGTTAAAAAATATAAAATATTTTTAATTAAATTTTACTTTTAAAAAAGTAGTTATATATTTTTAAACTAACTCTATCTTTTTATATTTACTCCTATTAAATACTCTATAATAAATATAAAGTTATTTATTAATAGAGATACTTTTAGAAGAAAGGTAATAATTACATATCGAAAAACTAAAAATGATTTATATTTTTTTAACATTCATTTTCTCAAAAAATACCTTATATTTTTTAATGAAGAGAGTATATATTATTCAATTATGTTATACTATATTTTAGTTTTCTTAACTTTATCCGAGTTTCTTTCCAAAAAAAAAAAAAAACTTTATCCAAGTCTTTATTTTAGTCATTAAATTCTATAAAATGTCCATTCAATTCTTTAACTGTATTATCATTAGTTTTATCACAAAAAAATTATATTAAAATTTTAAATATTAATAAAATATTTTAAATATTAACATATTAAATTTAATTTTTTTAAAAAATAAAAATAATCAGTGCACAAAACAATTATTTAAAATTAATGGTGTTAGGATTAAAAGAATACAAAAATATTTTATAAAATTAAAAGATCAAATTAAAATTTTATATAAAGTTATAAAGTTAGGGAATCAAAAAGTACACATTTGCCACTAAATTATTACCACAAGTTTTCCATTTGACTTTTTATTAAATGTTGGTGAAAAAAAGTATACTCCATCTAGTTCAAAATATAAGCATTTTTTTCTAGATAGTTTTGGTAAAAAATATAGTAACTTAGTTTTCATAAAACAAAAATTTCATTGTATCCCTTATATTTATTAATCTATATTTTTTTGTCTATAAATTTATGACTTCTTCTCACTTATTATAAATTGAAACTATGGGTAAAAAAAAAAAACAATGTATGTTTTCATGAGAATAATGATTCTCTTGATATGAGGATTATTGTTAAAAGTTACACTACTACAGAAAAGGAAATATTGGACGAATTTTTTTGCTCATATTGGATGGTTATGAACTGTCCAATATGAGACCGTCATATATTGATAAAATAAATATTAGATGATTATTAGAACCATCCAATATATAATATTGGACGGTTCAAAGATATGTGTAATATAGTGTCAGCATGGGGTGTACAAGGAAAAAATATATTGGATGATTCTTTAAATAATCGTCCAATATATGAACATATTGGATGGTTATTAACTATAACCGTCCAATATGTTTGAACGTACTGGACAATTCTGATAATAATCATCCAATATGTTCATATATTGGACAGTTATAACCATCCAATGATTTCGTTATATTGAACGGTCATAGTAAATAACCGTTCAATATATTGCAATTTTTTTTAATATGCTAGCTGCATTTCTTGCAACCCTCTATAATAGTATAATGCAAATACAGATCAGTCCAATCCAATTCAGTTCAATCCATAATTATACTAAACTAAATGAAATTATAATAAACTAATAATTTTATTAAAATAAAAAAATTGTTACTTATAAAATTTCTTAATATAGTACTAAGTAAAACAAAGTTGTTTGCTAGACTAGACCAAAATTATTCTAAATTATAAAAACTAAAATAAAAAAGTGTAATTTACTTATTTCTGGCCCACAGCTGAAAAATGTACTCACACTATTCCTCAATAACTTCGTTAATATGACGATCCCTGAATTCTTTACAATATAAATCGGGATAATACTACAATAATGTAATTTGACAACAAGGTTAATTATTTCAATAAATTAAAATTTATAATCACATACAATTTAATGTAAATAACATACATACCGCAGAAGGGATTAAAGTCATCTCATGAGTGATGATGTCTTTAAGAAATCTCATGACACAATATCCACAGTCCTCGCTATATGCTATTTGTCGTAGGCACTGCATAGAAAAACCAATAAACATGTTATTGAATTAATTAAAAAACTAAAATTAATTATTAAAATTAGTAGTGAGAAGTACTTTTATTATCTTCCAATTAGGATAGGCTAGATCATATGACTTGTACCTTAATGGTACATGTAAGTTCTTTTCAGTGCGATAAAGCACCACGGCCCTGATAAGAAAGAAAGTAAGTTAAAACTAGAATCCAAGTAGAATCCAAATATAAACTTACAAATTAACTAATTCCATCATATCTGGCTGCTCACTAGTAGAATCCAAGTAGTAAAACTTTGCAATTTTAACAGCAGCCGGCATAATGCCGATTAGCATCCAGTGGCTCCTAAAATAATTTGAAAACATATGTTATGAAATTTAAAATGACAAGATAAATTAAATAAATTAGGATACCATTGAACTCACCCTTATACATAAGATACCATAAATAACGTCCCCATAGTAAGGTTTTTTGCCTCAAAGTACTTTGCTAATGTTTGAGCTTGGCTATACCACACTTAGATAGTGATGTTGCAATAAGTAGAGACATCATGAGGACAGACAAAGACAAATTTTGATGCAAGATCACCAGGGACGATAAAATTTTCATATAGGTGCCTAAGTGAAAAAAAAATTATTATATTATATTAAGTTTAAAATATAATAAAAATTCATATAAACAATAAGTACCTCATATAAAAATGAATCACGTTTTGGCTAATCGAAACTTGCTTGAGGACTTCATTGACCATTTTAACCCTAATCACATCGTGTTATTCTCTGCTGTACATGCTTTGGTCAAAGCTGATAAGCATTGTAGAATCAGCAAACAACTTTGCATATGCCTCAAGTGCGCTCTGGTAGGTTTTTGACAATTGGTTTGGTACGGCTGTCTCAACCTTGGATAATTAGCCCAATTGTCTAGTGATGCCCTTCCCCTTAAACTGCGTCCCAATTATATAGTTAGGACCAATTATGTGATATATACATAAAAAGGTAACTAGCATACCTGTCGATTTTGTGCTTTATCTTGTACATAGAAGCAAACCCTGGGCCATGCAATAAAGTTGCCACTTGCTTCTCCAATAGTAAACGCATCTAAAGTTGGAATCGGCAACGGGTAGTTGGCATCAATGGGTTCAAGAATCAACCCTCGCAAATAGTCTGCAGGTATCAGCACATTGTGTTTGGTATTTTTCTTAAGGATATTAAACACACGGCTTCTTGCCACTTTGTGTCTATTAGGGCTATTTACCACAAAAAAGCAATCATGCTCGCCCTAAATAAAAATAAATATGAGTTAATAAAATCCATAGTCAACTAAAGTTAAGGAACAAAATTAATATATACCTCAGGAACTTGACCAAATGGCTGGGCCACAGTGCAACTATCTATCTTGCTGGGACTTATATGCTCAAAGGGCGACTTCCCAGAATCATTAGCCCTAAGCAGTGCCTCAATCATTTTTTATTGCGCTTCTACTTGTTATTTTAGAGCATTAAATCCAGCTGAAGAAGATACATTTTTTTGAGTCTTTTTCTTCTCCACTATTTGTTTCCTTGAGACCCCCATGCCAATACCTCTAACACAACTCGGGTGATCACAATTCCTCAATGCCTTTTCTAAGACATCTTCATCCTAAGGAAGTTCGCCTTTTGAAACTTCTTTTGAGATGACACTCTATTTATCATAATTTGGAAAGCACAAATTATTAAAACAGTAATTATTAGCATGTTATTCAAAGTTGAGAATGAAAATACTTACAACTTTTTCAATAAGTTCTCGAACATGTTCACCTACATAGTTGCCATCTTTATTAGTCTGACCGAATATAAAGAGTCTGGCTCGTGCTATAGAGCTCTTTGGTGTGCCCTCTTCGTCAATCTATGCATTAAAATACATTAGTGACATCACATATTACATATCAATTAATAAATTCAAAACATGCCACTTGTTGCTCAATCCCTAAGTACCCTAAGTGCCCTTTTAGGAAAGGAAGAAGATTTTTTGCCCTTAAATCTTTATTCTTTTGGCTTAGTTCCTAAAAAAAATAAAAAGTACCATAATTTTAGTGATCAATTCATATAAAATTATTGTACAAAATATTATGATCCTTACTAAGAATGATTTGTCAAGGCTTCTAGCAACAAAAGTATCCCAATGCTCTTGTTTGACAATGTGTTTTATCAACTCAAGGATTGTAGGACTAATATGGTCACTGGTATGAGTAATATATTTTGATCCTACAAAATATCAGAAGGCACGATGTGCCTTACATGCTACTTCCATGACAAAATGCCTTCGACTGGTGTCAATCTCAAATGCCGACTACTTAATCAGCAAATTTAAGATATAAGTTAGAAAATTGATATGATAATATAATAAAACAATTAATATTATAAATACATATATATTACCTCAACTTGTTCTCATATGAAATCCATAGAGGCTGAATCTACATCATGCCAACATTAATTGATAATCCTAAATGCCCTCTAATCACAGCCCCAATATAGCTGGAGAATTTATGCTTATTGGTCCTAATTGGTTGACCCTTCGAATTCCATTAAAAAGAATATTTCTGTCTAGCCAACCATCTTCGATTAACTTTACCCATCAGTACCAAGCCTTTTCTAATTGATATAGCCATAGTTTCTTGAGCATTTTTAGCCATAGACTGAGTAGTGGATGCAGAGAGATGATCACCCACCAGCAGGTTAGGAAGTGGGTCATTCGGTGAGTCAGGGGGTGAACTGATGGCACTGGGAGGATTATCGAATAGGTTATTAGTTGGTATGGGTCACCAAGTTTCTTAGATGGTATTTTGGGAGCCATTTACCTGTAATGAAATAGTTAAAAGATAAAATAGAAATAGTAATTAAGAAAATTAAAATGCACAAGGCATAAATAAGACATAAATAGTAATTAAGTAAATTAAAATGCACAAGGCACAAACAAAACACAAATAGTAATTAAGAAAATTGATCACCACAAGATTAAGTCAATCTTTTTCTTTTCCTTGTCTTCTTTTGAACTTTTTCTACCTTGATAGCTTGATTTAATTTTATAATCTTCTCTTTCATTCTTTTACCCCTTTTTGAGATCCAAATACCTTCATTGTAATCATGCCTTATATAGTTGGCACCATCTTCGATGAGATTGCTTTTAAGCGCAATCCCTTCAAATGGATCATCCTCAACAACATCAATCATCTCTCCAATTATTTTGTTTGACAACAAAAAAATGGACCAATTTTGTTTTGCAAGATCAGGAACATAAAACACTTGTTCAGCCTACGATGCCAAAATAAAAGTTTCATCTTTATTTCCATGCCTTGTAAGATTCACCTATATGAACTCAGATGACATATCAATTTGAATGCCACTTTTATAATCAACCCAATTACAACCAAAGATTGAAACTTTAAACTTAACATAGTCCAACTCCCATATATTCTCAATCACTCCAAAATATGACATTGATGCATATATAGGATTTTTGTCTTTCACATTGGAAATATGCATCGCTTCAGCTATAAGAGTTACACCGCTATTCTGCATTATACTTCGATCATCCAGCTCTTTGATGTAGAATGTGTATCCATTGATTACATAGCTGTTATAAGAGACAACTTGTATGTTTAGACCTCTAGCCAACCATTTTACTCTTTCAAAAATAAAATTATGATTGAAATTGTACTTGTCAGAAACATGCTTGTTTAATCAACCTGTAAAGTGCTTATTATGTTCCTTCTCATACCAAGTTTCAGTTCTTCCTGGATTATCCTTCCTAATGTCAGACTTGTGCTTGTCTGCATACTCGTCAACATCTTTAGAGTTGTGTAATACATACAGGTGTGCTTGCTCCCAATGTGTTTCTGAGATAGTGACTAATTTGACTCCCTTCATTCCTTCCCCATCTTCTCTTCCCATATGTCTTTCTACTGAGATCCCAACATATTTGCCATCTCTCAAATACTCTTGACAAAATTCAACAGCCTCTTTACTAATATACCTTTCAACAATACAACTTTCAGGTCTACTTTGATTTTTCACATACCCTTTTAGTACCTTCATGTTACGTTCAATCGGGTACATCTATCTCAAATAAGCCAGGCCACACATTTCTAACTCCTTAACTAAGTAAATAGTAAGGTGAATCATTATCTCAAAAAATGCAGGCGGGAAATGAATTTCAAGTTCACATAATGTCCTTATAATTCGGCCTTGTAACCTTAGCAATTTGTGAGGATTGATCACTTTGCTACAAATTGACTTGAAAAAGAAACACAATTTTGTTATCGTATGGCTATTGGAAGAAAATTTTTTATCAAGACATGATAGTCATGTGATTTTAAACCTTTCAACTTCAAGTCTTTCATTGACATGAGATTCTTCACATTGGAAGAGTAACCCTCTAGAACTTTAATTGCACCAAGAAACTCACATAATGACCTTTTTTCTTTTTTGGACAATGTGTGATCTGCTAGATGAAGAAATGTATGACTTCTATTTTCCTCCAGTGCCAAGTCTTCCCTTATACCCATGGAAACTATGTCTACCCTCGCTTTTATGCCATCTTTGGTCTCTCTTGAAATTTATAGTAACGTACCAATAATACTTTCACACACATTTTTTTCAATGTGTATTATATCAAGAAAATGCCATACATCCAAGGTCATCCAATACAGCAAATCAAAGAAAATAGATCTTTTCTTTCACCCACTTGTGCTAATGCGCCTCACAAAAGGTTTTCCAAATTTAACCTCTAAATCCTTGACCTTTTTAAACAACTGCTCACCAAATAAAAATGGAGGTGGCTTACCTTCTTTTGGATTACCATCTACGATGTCCCATGTAGACATTTTTCATACCATATTCTAATCTCACTGACTGTGTGCTATCTTCACAAATAGGGCATTCAAGTTTCCCTTTGATACTATACCCAAACAAATTACTGTACGCTGGAAAGTCATTGATTGTGCCAAACAACATGGCTTTCAAATTAAATGTTTTCTTCCTATACGCATCATACATGTCGACCCCTGTCCCCCACAATAGCTTTAAATCTTCAATTAAAGTAGCCAAGTATATGTCTACATCATTTCCTGGTTGTTTTGGCCCAAAAATTAACAAGGACATCATCAAATACTTATGCTTCATGCATAGCCATGGAGGTAGATTATAAATTATTAATATCACTGGCCATGTACTATGGGTACTGCTTTGCATGCCATATGGATTCATTCCATCGGTAGCTAGTGCGAGGCATAGGTTTCTAGAATCTTTTACAAAGTATAGGTACTCTTGATCAACCTTTTTCCATTGCATAGAGTCAGCAGGATGCCTTAGCATACCATTTCTAATTCTCTCGTTTGCATGCCATGTCAAATTTTTTGAATCTACTACACTGCTATACAAGCGTTTAAACCTAGGCATAATGGGAAAGTACTATACCACCTTCTCTAAACTCTTTCCATTATGCTTATAACGTGATGCATTACATTTAGGACACTTAGTTAATGATGTATATTAATTCTGAAATAAAGCGCATTCATTAGGGCAAGCATGTATCTTCTTATAACTCATGCCCACAGATCGCAACACTTATTTTGCATCATATGTTTAGGTTGGAAGCTTGTTATCCTTCGGTAACATTTCATGAATAAGTGAAAGAAATTCTGTGAAGATCATATCAGTCAACCCGCCTCTTGCTTTCAAGTTGAACAATCTCAGCAAAGCGGTCAATTTTAAGAATTCTGTGCAATTGGTGTGTAAATGTGTCCCTGCATCATTTCTTAATCTCTCTAGTATTTCTGAACAATCTCAAAGTTCCTCTTCAATAGCATTAGTTATCTCTTCAACACAATCATCCTTGTCTATACTTGTTTCGAAATCATGTGACATGTACATATTGCTATACTCACGGCTTCTATCAGTCGTATCCCTCGACTCACCATGCTTATGCCAACATGTATAAGTATAATTAATTCCAAAACACACTAAATGATCTTCCAACTCGCTCGTACTAACTCGCTTCAAGAGGCCACATTTCACACAAGGGCATACAATACTATTATGGTCTGCCTCATGCTCTAGTGCGAATCTAATGAACTCCTTCACCCCATCGACATATTCTTTTGTCACTTTATTCGCAAACATTCATTTCTTGTCCATAATCTCTCTCAATCTAATATGAATTGTTGAGAAAAATCATATTAGTGACTCAATCATATTGAAAGAGTTAGTTTAATGAATATATTAATTACTAACTCTATCAACCATGAGCCACATGCTTTCACACACACACACACACATCATCCTCTTTAAGATAATTAAATTTAAGATAATACTTACAATTATATTAAATTAATTATAAGTATTTTATCTTATGTGAAAACTTGCCAACAAGTGAATTCTTTTATTTATAATTTATAAAAAATTAAGAATTATTTTATGTTAGTT